TACTGTAGGCCAAGCAGCAGGCTACCCCACACCCTTGGTAAATCTCCATCAGATGCAAGACAAGGACAGTCCAACAGCCCAACCTTTCAATTCACAGTTTAGCATAATAATATCTAGGAAACTTTCAGGTTCTTTGTTGAAGGCAGAGGGTCAAAGATCACCCCTTGACTGGCCAAAGTTGTAGAAATGATAATAAGATCATCTTAAGGAATTTCTGAATTTAAAATGTCTGACAGGTTTCTTGCAGGAAAAACTCCTCTGGGCCCAAATCCCCAAGTTAACCTAATCAGCCCTTTAGTGACCTATATGACACAGACAGAACCCACCCCCTCCATCATGACAGCAATCTTGACTAATAACCCACCCATCTGTTTGCGGTCCATCACCTGACATCAGTACCTGCTCTTACTTGCCCCACGTGCTCGTGGAGCAGAACACCATTCCATCACCTTAATGACCTTCCCCCATCCAAGGGAAATGGTTAAAAGGACTCAACCATGAGCAACCAGTCACCATTGCCATGCCATTGTCAAGCCATTGTGGTCATTGCCTTACTAAACTCTGTTGTGGCTGTGTACTTTTTGAACCATGGTTGTCGCCATGTTTCCTGGCTTTAGCACCCGTCCCTGCCTTGGGGAGGTAAATCTCCTCTCTCTCTCTCTCTCTCTCTCTCTCTCTCTCTCTCTAATTTACTTTTTTTTTTTTTGAGTTGGAGTCTCACTCTGTTGCCCAGACTGGAGTGAAGTGGCCGCTCCTGGCCACCGCAGCCTCAACCTGCTGGGCTCTGGCGATCCTTCCGCCTCAGCCTTCCAAGTAACCGGAATTACAAGCATGCGCTACCACGCCTGGCTAATTTTTTTGATTTATTGTAGAGATGAGATCTCGCTGCCCAGGTGGGTCTCGAGCCTGCCGGCTCAGGCAATCCACTCACCTCAGCCTCCCAAAGGCGCGGGATTACAGGCTGAGCCACCGAGCCCGGCTCTAATTTACTTTTTAAATAAATATATTTTCCAATCTAATCTCTGTGCAATTCTTTGCATCTTTCATATGGCATCAGATCGTACACCAGACACCCCCAGTGGGCCTGATCCAACATTCTGTGGGCCCCACTGGGAGTGTGCCCTAACATTTTTGGAAGTCCCACCAAGACCTAACATTTTTGGAGGTTCCACAGAGACCTAACAACTCTGGTATCAAATTCCAACTAATTATTTTTTGTTGATGCATGTTATGTTAAAAATAAAAAGAACAATACCAGGTTTGACAAACATAAATAGTTAAGTCTTTCTCATAAAATTTAATTTCTTACCAGGAGCCAAACTGTTCAATGATTGAACTATAACCCTTTTAGGGCATATTAAATTGGGGGAGGGGGGAGAGAAAAGGTGTATAAATTAATAACTGGTGTATTTTGAATAATTCACTTATTTAACATGCCATAGAGACATCTAAAAGTAAACAAGAAATGTGAATTATTTGATGACTTGATGTTACTTAAAATTATTCTAAACTGGAGTCCTCCAGAGAACCTCCAGAAGAAGAAGTAGGGACATTAACTGCTAAACCAAGATCCTTGGAACAAGCCAATGACCACATAAGTTAGTGACCATCCTGACAATACTTGTAAATGCATACATAGTTGATCACATCTCTTATATCATTCCTGGGTTCTTTATTCTATGCAGAAATCCAGCTTTTCAATATCAATCCAGAAGAAAAGTTCATTGCTCAATAGGGCCATAGAACAAGATTTGATTCTCCAATGTCCTTAATGGATTATATCTCCCTACAAAGAATTCAAAAGGAATAAAACTCTTTCAGAGAAAAGACTCTTAAGAATAGTCACTCTACCTATAGGAGTTGGATAACTAGGTTTTTAATTTTTTTAAATGTTGTCATAGTAAATAATGTTTACATTGGCTAAATAACAAATTATATAGTCAATACTCTCAGGCTCCAACAATTAGCTGACATAGTCATGATTAAGAGAATAACTTTAAATTTTCCTTTGGACAATCATAGAGGAAGCTACTCCATAGCTAACACTTCATGTTTTACCTGGATTAAGTCAGTGAAATAATTCATACATAAGTTAAAAGAAAAGTGAACATAGCTAGCTAACAAAGACACAAGAAACCTTTGGGACTTGCTTTCTTGATCAGAGCTGGGAAGTCTTGGGTCATAACTTCAGAGATCTTCTAATCCCTTCTAGTAATTCTTCTAATTATACCTGTTTGTCTTGTAGTTGTTCAATGTTTGCTGTCCAGACCTTTACGTGCTTCTGAACAATGTCTTGACAGATGGTTCAACAATTTTCAAAACAGTATAAAAACACATTGATCAATGTGAAATCTGAACTTCATTTTCAAGGAGAACCAACAACAGTGGTGAAAATCTGGACAACCCTTAAGGTCTCTCTTGAAGATCTGACTGGCTGAATGTTCCCACAAATAGGGAAAGACTGAGCGCTCTTTAACCCAGAATCAATTTTATACTTATCCATCAATCAAAGACAATTCATCTCAATGAAAATGCTTTTAAAAGCCAGCCTATTGGTGTCCCTCTCTTCTGAAAGCCAGGTCTCCAGGGATGGACTCACTCTAGTAAACACCCACTGAAGTAACAACCAATCAGCAAGAGCTGCTCCTACAGATTATGTCATCCTCTCACCCTCATAGTCCTCCAATCCCTGAACTTCACACTCCCAAAAGTGGCATTTAAGAGCTCAGGAAGATTGTGCCTGGCCAGCATAGCTCTCCTTACTCTAGTAAGTAAGACATTTTGCTTTGTCATTTTATTTCAGATCTTTAGTAGTGGTTTCATCATTCTTTGACAAGGGCAAGGCTTATCTGTCTTGTGTTAGCAGTTCCTAGTTTAGTGACTGACATAGGTTCGGACTTCAGTGTGTATATAAGTAAAACTCAGCAGATGCAGAAACAAGAAAGAAGTGTTGTAGTCTCCCTAGGTAACACAGCTCACTGGTGGAAGTACTGTATTTAGAATCTCTGACACCCACTATCACAGAGAAATCAGGAAGCCTGGTTTATAATTAACCCCTCAACATAACACAAGAACAGAAGCAGTCCTATATTAGATACAGAGTCCTGAATCATTTGTAAGAGGCTTTGCAAAACCAAGAAACACATTTTCAAAGTGATCTGGAAGACAGTGAGAAAAATATATATACATATGTATGTACTGTATATAGAAATATTTGTGCTATATATAGATATGTTTGTGCTATATATAGATATATTTGTGATATATATATGCCATAGATGTTATAATGCTTTGCTTCTATCACCAAAGCAGAAAAATGAAAGAGCCCTTCCTCCTTTTACAATAAACTTTGAGATAGAATTTGTAAGTAATTTGTAAGGAATTTCCTACTTTTAAAGTGTTTTTGGTGTTGATTGTAAGCCATGGCAGAAGGGGATTAATGTAAGGAGGGCCCTTAAAGGTATCCTGCACTCTTGTTCCTGACCTGGAATTTGAGTGGATGCTCACATGCACGGAACATGACTCCAGGCAGTTTTGTGGAAGTTTCAGCATTCTTACCCATTAGCACTCCTTGTTCAGTTTAGAAATCTAATAGATCAGAGTTGCCCAAATTTAGTACTATTGACATTTGAATCTGAACAATTCTTTGTTGTGGGGCTGTCTGTGCATTGTACAATGTTTAGTAGCATTTCTGACTTTTACACACTAGATGCCATTCGCACTCCATCCCCAAGTCTTCATAATCTGAAATGTCTCCAGACAGTCTATATGTTTCATGGGGGACAATATCACCCTCATTTGAAAACTGCAGCTCTAGATAAAAGAACAGGTAGCCTCTGACCCCTTTTTTCTTCTTTCTTTTAGAATTATGCCCTCTTTCTTCTTCCCCTGGCTATACCTCGGTCTGTCTAAGTTTGATTGACTCAATATAGTTAGAATTAGCTACTGACTCTAGAAAATGCATGCAGAGCTCATGATGGGTGTCTATCTCCCTCACTATCTCTTCATGGTCAAAGATAATTTTTCTCATTCTTTTACCTCTTGCACCAAGTGTATGCTTAATTGAATTTACTTTATTGTCCCAGAGCTGATAACAGAAAATGGAGGCTGTGTAGACTTCTGGTCTAACTTAAATATGTGAATTGGGTTCAAGGAATCATCCTTGGCAATGGGGAGGGAGCAACCTCAACATCTAATGGATTCAGCTCTTATGTAGTTTTAGAATCTTGAGTCATAGGGTCAGATTATTAAGAGTTAACAAAAAGCAGGGAAGTGTGGGTGGGGGGAAAAGAAAGAGCCCTCACTGCTGTAGTGGTTGTCATCCATTAGCTGCCACTTGTAGAGAGCTGGGAAATTGTCTTCCCTGGATTTTTAATTTTTCCTTCTTAACTTTGCTCATGTTCAGGAAGGCACACACACAACCTGATGGGGCTGTAGGCATTGGACCCAGAAAGTAGCAGCATAAGGCAATGGAAGAGGATAACAAATGCAGGCTCTGGGAGTTTGGTAAATATCTTCAATCTCACATCAGAAGGGGAGGATGCTGCAGAATGACAGTTAGTCACCTAGGCAATACCATATTTTGCAAGAATCAGGTGCTGCAATTTGCAAAGAAAAAAAAAGACTGGGATGAAATGCAAAACTGTTTTGCCTGATGCATGGCAGTCTTCCCACCAAATCGTGCTCCTGTCCCTCCCTTCCCTCCTCCTTGGACACCCCACTCTAAGTGCACAAAGCTGCGCGTTTTTCCAGCATACTGACCAGCTTATCCAAATGTTCTAAAGGATATACCAGAGATGGCAATTGACACCATTACCTCTGAAACAGGGAACGTGTCAGAGCCAAGTAAGTCTTTCATGCTTGCTTTCTTTTTCCCAGGCTACTCTCTGCAAAACAAAAAAGTTCTACTTTCTACAAACATGGGGGCGGGGGGGGGGGGGTTGGGATAAAGCCCATACAAATACAAGTAAAGTGTGTTTCAGGATCGCTAGAACACCCACCTCCACAGCTTCAGATACTGGTGAGACGCTATTAGTCTTCCTGGAACCCACGCGGAGCTTGGCGGCCTTGTAGATCCTCCAGTACACGAAAAGTACCACGCAGAGCGGCAGGTAGAAGGCGCCTACAGTGGAAAACACGGTGTAGGAGGGCTCGCGGCTGACCTGACACTCCTCACTGCCCTCTGAGTATGTCTCTCCCCAGCCGAAGAGCAGCGGGGCGAGAGAGATGACGGCGGACAGCACCCAGGTGAGAGCGATCATAACGTTGGAGACATGCTTGCGGGTGCGGAGCGTGTATTCCAGGTGGCGGGTGATGGACCAGTAGCGATCCAAGGCGATGGCCGTTACGTTCCAAATGCTGGCCGTACAGCAGAGCACATCGCATGCGATCCACAGCTGACACAGCCGCCGGCCCAGCTGCCAGCGGCGCCCGGACAGCTCATGCACCAGGCTCAGTGGCATGACAAGCGCCGCCACCAGCACGTCCGAGATGGCCATGGACGCCACCAGGTTGTGTGGCACGCGGTGGAAGGTGCGCACACGGAGGATGGTTGCCAGCACCAGCAGGTTCCAGGCGAACGTCGCCACCACCAGGAAGCCCAGCAAGGTCAGCACAAGCACGCCGAAGATGGAGAGTAGGGGCGGGCTGGGACGCAGGTCGTCTGTGCCGAGGCTGCGGTTAGTCTCCGGAGGAGAGAGAGTGGAGAGGGAAAAGGAGGTTAAGTTCACAGGCAAATCCATCTCTGGGTCAGGAGACCGGCACGGGGTGCTTGCAGGAGGGGCTTTCCGAAGGACTTAAGGTGATCACTGCGCCCAGAGTCAATCTGGATGTTTGCAACCTCTGGCCAGTGGCAGGGTTTCTGGGAAGTGCCTGTGAATTTGGTCCCGACCTCCTGCCAGTGAGCATTCCGTGGGAGACGGTGTGGCGGAAAAGAAGGTGCTGGGCTGCTAGCGTGGCAGATCTGAAGCCCTCAGAGGCTAAGAAAGCAGAGGCAAGGGGCTGCGTTTCACAGCCAGGGCCCGCCTAAGCTGTCACATGCCCGGGGCTCCTTATCCCGGCGGAAACGGCTGTCTGACAGCCCGGAGCTGAGCATCTCCCGGGTCCGGGAGAAGCTGAGCGGCCCGCAGCAGCGTGTGGGTGCAGGAGAGGGGCTGGTGCGTCAGAGCAGCAGCTCTCACAGCGGCGCTGCCTCCCTGCCCGCCCCTCTCTCCAGGCAGCCGGTTGCAGCCTCAATTCCGTGCTAGAGAAGCCAATTTTTCTGGGGACCTGCTTTCTGAAACCTGCGGTCTGCTCTGCCCGGTTCCCCTCGCCACTCCGTCTGGGTCTGCGACGCCAGAGAGCGAACGCTGGCGCGCCCACCCAGACCTGCCTTATCAAAGTGGGGCTCCAGCCCTACGTAAGGAATCAGCTGATAAGGCCATCTCTCCCCGCCTCCCAGCTCAGAACGCGCAGCTTTGGGCGCTCTCCGTGGTGCTGCCGTTCTGTCCTGGCCTCCTGGCTCAGAGCACGCCATCCCCTCACTTGGTGCTGTCCATAGTACTGCCGCCTCCGCCCACCCAAGCGCAGGTGGTTGGCGCTGTCCATGGTCTGTCCCTCTTGCCAGAAATGGGTTCGCCGTGGGGAGCAAATTGACCAATGAACTTTCCTTGAAACGTTCCTCTAGCCACCCACATACACGTCCCTCTAGGAGTGGTCTGGAGACTATGAACGGCTTTTCACCTTCCCATAGGTTTTCACCTTTTGTACAAGTGTTCCAAGTTTGGGGTCCAAGATATTTTCACCGAATTTTCTTCTCCAAAAGATTTCAATACATAATTCCTCTCTTCTTAAAGAACACCCAAGTCCCTTCCTTAAAGCGTTTTTGTTAAAGGAGGAATGGGAAAATAGAGGTTACTGCTATTACTAGAGATGGCTGATGTGTTGGAACTAGAACATGTAGCCTGTTTCCTCAAAGTCATAATCAAGAAGCTGTGTAGTCTCTTCAGTGGGCTCTACTCAATTTGCTTCCTGTGAAGAAAAACCTTGACACAAATAGTTATAAAAGCTCTGTCTCACTCAAAGAAAGGAAGGAACATTTAACTTGTTCCCTACACATGCACAGAAAAACAACCATAAACACATCCACAGTGATGGAGAAAATAGCAACAGCTCCCACCCAGAAGTTGATTTAAAGTACCTCATAAGGAGGCATGACATAGCAATATAAAAAAGTTGAAATTTTTAAAATTATGTATTAGAAATGACAGTAAAATAAGATGGAAATAAGCTTTGTTTTAAGTACATACAATGGATGCATAGCATCCTATGCATTTACAAGTAAATTTAGTCAGAAACTTTTTAGCTATTTGAAAATGAAAAACATGCTTTGTTATAAGATTTCATTTCTAGTAGAGTAAAACAAGCATTCAGAGAATGCACTAAGACAAAGGAACTTCTTCACTGGGACCCAGAGAAGAAGAAAATTCTGTTAAATACAAGATTATTCACAGGGTTAATTCACCAGACACCACTTAAAAATGATTAATGATAGCAACTTGTGTACAGTGTGACTGTGGGGCTCTAATCAAAAAGCAGGTTTGTGTATGTTTAGAACATGTCACCTTCTTTAGACCCTGAAACTAACTGGAATGATATATAAGCTATGAATCCTTTTCTTTGGAAAAAAGTCCCTAAAAAATTCTACATTGATTCTTAGGGGTCTGTGACCCAGAGGGATGGATGAGCTGCATTCCGGTAGGCAGGTCTGGATGTATTTCTCTATACAGATCTTGAAAGGCATCCTGGGCTTTTGTAATTCTATTCCCCGTAGTGCAGCTGTCTGTAGCAATAGTAAAGTGAATATTAGAACAGCCTAATAAACCGGGCTCGGTGGCTCAGCCTGTAATTCCGCGCCTTTGGGAGGCTGAGGTGAGTGGATTGCCTGAGCCCGTGGGTTCGAGACCCACCTGGGCAACTTGGCGAAACCTCATCTCTACAATAAATCAAAAATTAGCCAGGCGTGGTAGCGCACGCCTGTAGTCCCTGCTACTTTGGAAGGCTGAGGGGGAAGGATCGCTGAAGCCCAGCAGGTCGAGGCTGCAGTGGCCAGGAGCGGCCACTGCACTCCAGTCTGGGCGACAGAGTGAGATTCCAACTCAAAAAAAAAAAAAAAAGAAAAGAAAAGAAAAGAAAAGAAAATTGGATTGTCATAAAGTTAGAGATGGAATAGACTGTTCTCACACATGAAAAAGAGGTCCGATGGAGCATTTCCAGAAGGACCAAAATTGGCCCATAAATTTTGGTTTATCTCTTATATAGACACAAATGAAAAACCATAACGTTTCCATTTTTATCATAAAGCATGGCCCTAACTTTAGTTTGGAAAAAAATCTAAGACCAGGTGCAGTGGCTCAACCCTGTAATCCCAGCACTTTGGAAGGCCGAGGTCAGAGAATTGCCTAAGAACAGGAGTTCGAGGCCAACCTGGGCAACTTGGTGAGATCTCATCTCTACAATTAAAAACAAAAATAGCTGGGCATGGTGGTGCACACCTGTATTTCCAGGTACTTGGAATGCTGAAGCAGAAAGATTGCTTGAGCCCAGCAGGTTGAGGCAATGGTGGCCATGAGCATGCTACTGCACTCTAGCCTAGGCAACAGTGAGACTCCAACTCAAAAAAAAAAGAAAGAAAGAAATATAAATGAAAGTAAAATTCTCACCTGCCATAAAGTTCTGAAATGACAGCACTGAGGAATAGAATTTCCTGGATTACCACTTGTTAAGGTTTGAATTGTATTTTATCCATATCCCTCGAAAAATTTATGTTGAAATCTTAACCCCCAGAAACTCACAATAAGACTATGTTTAGAAATAGCATCTTTAAAGAGGTTATTAAGCTAAAATGAGGCCATTTAGAGTGAGCCCTCATCCAATTTGACTGATTTCCTTATGAAAAGGAAATTTGAACATGCAAAGAGATACCAGAGATGTGCATGCAAAGAGAACACCATGTGAAAATAAAGTGAGAAGGTGGCCATCTGAAAGCCAAGGAGAGAAATATCAGAAGATACCAGCCTTGCCAACACCTTGATTTTGGACTTCCAGTCTCCAGAACTGTGAACCAAGAAATTTCTAGTGTCTAAGTCACCCAGTCTATGGTAATTCTGTTATGACAGCCCCAGCAAGCTAATACACCATTCAACAAAAGATACTTGCAAAAGATACAACCTGGTAATTGAATGAAGTATATGCTGGAGTAAGGGAGAATTACAGACATTGACAAACTCTGAGATATCTACTAAAATCATTTCTTTATAAAATGGACTTGTAGGCCAGGCACAGTGACCCATGCCTGTAGTCCTAGCACTTGGGAAGCTGGAGTGGGAGGATCACTTGATCCAGGAGTTCAAGACCAGCCTGGGCAACATAGTGAGAGCTTGTCTCACTATGTCTCATTAGAAATAAAAAGATCAGCCTGGCATGGTGGCATGCAACTGTAGTTCCAACTACTCAGGAGGCTGGGATGGGAGGATCACTTGAGTCCACTAGGTCTAGGCTGCAGTGAGCCAGGATCATGTCACTACACAGCAACCTGGGCAACAGAGTGAGACCTTGTCTCAAAAACAAATGTGATCTGTAGCTAGTCTAGTAATAATTAGATTGCAGGCTAAGTTGTCTATTGACAACTTACAGTTTATACTTATAGTTTATAATCAAGCCATATCATTGGCATGTAAGAAAATGGTTACTTTATATTTTAAATAATGGAAAGGTATAAATCTGATCTATTTCATCTTCAAATGGGAGCTTTTTTATTTTTGTTTATTTTATTATTATTATTTTGAGTCAGAGTCTCACTCTGTCACCCAGGCTGGAAAGCAGTACACAATCACTACTATCATAGCCTCGACTTGCTGGGCTCAGGCGATCCTTCTGCCTCAGTCTTCCAAGTAGCTTGACACTACAGCTTGCGCCACCATACCAAGCTAATTTTTTTATTATACAAAGTCTCACCAAGTTACCCAGGCTGGTTTTGAAGCCCTAGGCTCAGGTGCTCCTCTTGCCTCTGCCTCCCAAAGTTTTGGGATTATCGGTATGAGCCATCACGCCTGGCAAAGAGTTGATTCTTAAGTTACAAATTAAAAGTGAGAACAAATGGGAAATGCAGAACATAACTTGTAAGGGTATTACGAGTGAGTTTTTTCCTACATACCTTAACCATCACAATTTGGAAATTAGCCAATTATTAAAAAGTCACATATAAAAACTTCATTATATACCAAGCATTTATTTATTTATTTATTTGAGTTGGCGTCTCACTCTTTTACCCAGGCTGGAGTGCAGTGGCACACTCATGGCCACTCCAGCATCAACCTGCTAGGCTCAGGCGATCCTTCTGCCTCAGCCTTCCAAGTAGCCGGAACTACAGGTGCACGCTACCACGCCTGGCTAATTTATTTATTTATTTATTGTAGAGATGAGGTCTTGCCAAGTTGCCCAGGCTGGTCTGGAACACGTGGGCACAGGCGATCCACCCATTTCAGCCTCCCAAAATGCTGGGATTAGAGGCTGAGCCACTGAGCCTGGCCTATACCAAGCATTTAAATAAATGTCCCGTACCTACATAATCAATGCTTGTATACCTAACCCTGAATTGTACCCCCATCTTTATAATAAAAAATAATAATTAAAATAAATAAATGTCCCTATATGAGCCAGGTGTGGTGGCTCACACCTGTAATCCCAACACTCTGGGAAGCCAAAATGAGAGGATTACCTGCGCTCAGGGGTTCAAGGCCAGCCTGAGCAACATGGTAAGACCTCATATCTATAGCAAATCAAAAAATCAGCTGGGCATGGTGGCACATGCCTGTGGTTCCAGCTATC